ACATAATTTTTGCTTGATGTGTTGGCTTCATGGTAACGTTGAATGTTTTATGACATCCTCCGGTAAAACATTAACACTTCGTCCCGATGGTTGGCTGACCAGGAAGGAGAAAATCGCAACAAATAGGACGCATTCCTTCCTGCTGGTGACCGAAAAGAACATCGGCGAGCTGTTGATGTTGAAATTCAAGTGGGAGGAGTCAAACGGCTGGTCAGCCTCCAGTATGTTCAAGATGGTTTCTTCCTGGTGGTCCGGCGACACCGACGGCGCCAACATGGAGGTGCACAAAATTCGAATCCGGGCTGGAGAGACGCAGCAAAAGTAAGTCAGTGGATTTTAACGAAAAGACAGTTAAACTATTCACAAATAAAAGGGAGGGATATTTTGCATTTTGGGTGAAATAATGGGGGGAGTGCATGATTCCTAACTGTGACGTGTTTTCCAGGGTGGTGTTCTGCATAAAAGATCCCGATTCTTCCAACTTAACACGGGAGCTTACCTTTGTCAAATGTAAGGACGCATGGCGAACCAACACAAAACGCACTTCCAAAAGGTAAATAAACTTCTTCCACCTGCTTTATCTCCACCAAAGAATCCTTTTGTCAAGGTTTTGTCAATATAAACGTCTTTATCGGTAGAATAACCTTGGAGGCCCACTGACCCTGCGGAGAAAACAACCTTCACTACCCGTGTGTCCTTTTCAGCACTTAGTAGATAATTTATGTGATGTTCATAATCCCAAAGACGGTGACTTGTATATATCCACCGCAGTATGTCCTTTTTTTTTTAATTTAAAACCTCATACATGTTAATACTATCAACTCATTGTATGTTTTATGAGTCATTGATTGGTGTTATCGTGATGTGTATGTCGGCACTCTTGTCATCAAATAATCTGACGATGTTTTGAGGTACTAATGTCCTATTGTATTGGTATTTATAGATAACACTGTCAAAACGTATTTTTTTTTCTCTTTTTGGCTGGTTTTGCATGGACATAAACCCCCTGGAAGAAACGGATCGATACAAAATTAATAAAGAACCTGTGCTATGAAAACATACAGGTAGTCGGCCATCCTCACTTCATTTAGTAGTTTTGACATTTTGACTTTCAAGTGAAATCTCCTTTATTTATTTTTTTAAGTCCATGTAAATGTTACCCATAATGCCCTATAGACTGTTACCTTCCCAAAGAGACAGGGATTTTCTTTTAATTGTTATTGTGTTAAAAGTGGTCTACGCAATAGTGTATTTATGTACTATATTACATATAATATGTATGTGACCTAACAAAGCATTCACCACTGTGGCCCCCAGCACGGCATGTGACTGTGGGGAACTGGATCAGTGTGCCTTAAGTTCAACAAAGCGCTTTGTTGCTGTGTGTTTTATGGGTGCTTTATGGTTGTCATGACAACACACTGACATTACTACTGTCTCTACTCAGTTACACCTCTGCACTGTGAAACATTGCTCGGCTGGTACCTCAACAAACGCCTAAGGTTGTTGTTTTAATATGGTTGCTTTGTTGTTGTCGTTTTGTTTTGTTTTTAATGTGGTACAATAATAATTGGAAATCAATAATAATTGTCTTTTATTCAGCAGGGTATAGGATAGGCCACTTTATGTTCTAATACAGCCGTATGTTGTAATGTTTCTGGCTGGATGGTGTTGTTTTGTGTTTGGAAACAGCACACGACATAATTCCGCCATTTTTCTGCATTGGTACGTCATTTGTGGGTGACACTCCTCAGAGATCGGAACTGTCATCATTGTGACTTTATTTTCCACCTCCAAAGTACGTGCACAAATTCTGTTTTTGCACCGATCGCAGGGGTGGGCGTTTTAAAACCGTGTACAGACAGACGGGATTTGATGTAAATAAGAAATAATGGATTTTTGGTTTAGCGTAATCTGTTCTCCTTGTAGATAAATGTAAATATGTGGTGTTAAAACGTGTATTTTTAATAAACAACACCTGAGGGATCACATTGTCTTTATTTTTTATTTCTTTATTTTTTGCTTTTTGATAAAGAAGTGTAAATAGTTGTCAATTGACTTGAAAACAGATTGTCCTTGCACCAGCCTACAGCACTGCGAATTGTCAAGCTGACCCAAGTTCACAATATAGAAAGATTAACCAAGACATTAATAGCGAAGTCCAAAATATTTTAAAACCCGTGAGCACATTTTTGACATTTAGTGAGGATACGTTTTGGCGGTGCAGGTATAGCTAGCTAGCTAGCTAGCTAATTGCTCACTTTATTGGGAGAAATTGGCTTTGTACTCAAGCAATTGCGCTAAATAACCACTGATGTGAACATAGGCGCTCAAGTTCCGAAATACTGTAGTGGTAGAGGTGGTGGGTGGGGGTTTCTTGCCAGACGTGCAAGCATGTCACAGTACCAGTTTCGCCACGGCCTCAAAATGGTGAAAAACCGCTAAATGCTATCTCCGCAATTCAGTATTACCTGTACATGGTTCTCATCATTCAGACGTTTTCAGCAATTATGTACAATATTTACAAAGCTCAGAATTTACAGGGAATGTCATTGTAAAGATACATTTTCAAGGACAGTACATTCATTTTTACAAACAGTTTGCCGTGTGTCACAATGAGGTGAGCCCTTGTGAAGTATTTGGGCCAAAAGTCATGACAGCGCTTCACTGTTGTACCAGTAGAACACCAATGTGATGGAAACCTGGACTCCAATCAATCAGATCATGCATTTGCACTCGGGTTCAAAGACAACGAGGACATGGTGACAGAATGGAGGGAAATACCTCCCGCGTTTGTTGGGTCCACATGGAAAGACCCTTGCAGTTGGAACAACCGTGACTTTTTCCATGACACACGCCGTAACATGAGCAGGCATTTTATTGGACGAAACACGTCATGTATAGCCACAACATGAACAACAAACAGATCATGGAAGACCCGAATAATTATAGTGCAGATGAAATTATTTTAAAATGGCCCCCGATGGTTGCAATATTTTAAATGTAGTGACATTCTAATGTCTTTCATTTATCAGTGATAGCCTTCTAAGTTTTGATAAATGTATCTGTAAATGATTTCTTTGGGCTCCACCCACTGACTCAGTCGTCTCCTTGCATTGTTCCTTTATTCCTTTCCTTCAGGTCAAGTAGGTTGCAAGTGTTTGATGGTAATTATTGAGTTTGATGATTTTTGTTTTGAGTTGCAGAACATGACAAATTCATATCCGTATAAGGGCATTCGTTGCGAATATAAATATGTGTTTGGAGATGCTAGTAAAATCGCTAAGGTCGCATTAAGCCCCCTGACTGGCTAGCAGGTTGTGTTTAATATGAAGAAAAAAAATATCTATGAGTTGTTAATTCGTCTGATGCCTTTTTAATGTATTTCATCTGTATTGAGTATTTCTCGTTGTAACAAAATCTGTCTCTCCAAGGAAGTTACTGGAAATGGGACACGAAATCCATCCCAGATAAATTAAATTTATTTGATCTATCTTCAGGGTGAGTCACTCCAGGTTTCTGGTATCCAGCGTTTGGCCACAGAGGCAGACAGTGCAGCCCATTATTGCAGACAGTGTCAGGATAGCCAACAAGATGGCCCACCAGTGAGCCTGCGGACACAAAAATCCATTTATTTGTGGGTCTACACACTAGTCGATTAAATCATGAAAATCTGCGTATTATTGATGCCCGTCGTGAATGCATTGGGAAAAAAAACACCTCATTGAGGTGCTCTTAAACCCGGATGAGCATTCCAGATTCGTCACGCTGTCAAGAAGATCTAAAGTCGCTACCTCACACCCAAACATCTAAAGAAGGCTTCATTCACGAACATTCACCCACATGTTGAACTGAGAAACACAAATGTATCGCAAACATCAGCTGAAATTACTCTTCAACCCATGAATCAGAATTCAGCATGTTGGAAATTGTTGATGAATCTTGTTTTGAGCCTGAACTGATTCACATTTTCCTGTAAAATTATATGATATGCACAAATTATTTGTTGTTGTTTTATGTTTTGACCATTCTTTGTTTTCTTTCAACTCAGACTTTAATTTTAGATGAGCTTCTCAACCTTCGGCTGTGGATGAGATCCTTATTGTGCTAAATGCTAATCTAGTTGAAACTTCGTTACGTTCCTCTCACCAAAGATCCTGAAGAGATTAGAAATCAGACCATGAATGAGTTCGTCCAATCGTTTTATGCCCCTTTTCCACCTCCCAGTGCACAATCGACTTGCCTTATCTCCTTACTTGGCATATTATGGTCAAATCGTTTTTTTCTTATGAACATTTAAACCAGTGGTGTCAAACATACGGCCCGCGGGCCGGAACCGGCCCCCGACGAGGTTCGATCAGGCCCACGGGATAATTTAAAAGTGAAAAAAAATGCATAAAAGACACAGATTTAATATTTACATTTAGATTTTATATGCACATGTGCTCCCGCGTTTGTTGGGTCCACATGGAAAGACCCTTGCAGTTGGAACAACCGTGACTTTTTCCATGACACACGCCGTAACATGAGCAGGCATTTTATTGGACGAAACACGTCATGTATAGCCACAACATGAACAACAAACAGATCATGGAAGACCCGAATAATTATAGTGCAGATGAAATTATTTTAAAATGGCCCCCGATGGTTGCAATATTTTAAATGTAGTGACATTCTAATGTCTTTCATTTATCAGTGATAGCCTTCTAAGTTTTGATAAACGTATCTGTAAATGATTTCTTTGGGCTCCACCCACTGACTCAGTCGTCTCCTTGCATTGTTCCTTTATTCCTTTCCTTCAGGTCAAGTAGGTTGCAAGTGTTTGATGGTAATTATTGAGTTTGATGATTTTTGTTTTGAGTTGCAGAACATGACAAATTCATATCCGTATAAGGGCATTCGTTGCGAATATAAATATGTGTTTGGAGATGCTAGTAAAATCGCTAAGGTCGCATTAAGCCCCCTGACTGGCTAGCAGGTTGTGTTTAATATGAAGAAAAAAAATATCTATCAGTTGTTAATTCGTCTGATGCCTTTTTAATGTATTTCATCTGTATTGAGTATTTCTCGTTGTAACAAAATCTGTCTCTCCAAGGAAGTTACTGGAAATGGGACACGAAATCCATCCCAGATAAATTAAATTTATTTGATCTATCTTCAGGGTGAGTCACTCCAGGTTTCTGGTATCCAGCGTTTGGCCACAGAGGCAGACAGTGCAGCCCATTATTGCAGACAGTGTCAGGATAGCCAACAAGATGGCCCACCAGTGAGCCTGCGGACACAAAAATCCATTTATTTGTGGGTCTACACACTAGTCGATTAAATCATGAAAATCTGCGTATTATTGATGCCCGTCGTGAATGCATTGGGAAAAAAAACACCTCATTGAGGTGCTCTTAAACCCGGATGAGCATTCCAGATTCGTCACGCTGTCAAGAAGATCTAAAGTCGCTACCTCACACCCAAACATCTAAAGAAGGCTTCATTCACGAACATTCACCCACATGTTGAACTGAGAAACACAAATGTATCGCAAACATCAGCTGAAATTACTCTTCAACCCATGAATCAGAATTCAGCATGTTGGAAATTGTTGATGAATCTTGTTTTGAGCCTGAACTGATTCACATTTTCCTGTTAAATTATATGATATGCACAAATTATTTGTTGTTGTTTTATGTTTTGACCATTCTTTGTTTTCTTTCAACTCAGGCTTTAATTTTAGATGAGCTTCTCAACCTTCGGCTGTGGATGAGATCCTTATTGTGCTAAATGCTAATCTAGTTGAAACTTCGTTACGTTCCTCTCACCAAAGATCCTGAAGAGATTAGAAATCAGACCATGAATGAGTTCGTCCAATCGTTTTATGCCCCTTTTCCACCTCCCAGTGCACAATCGACTTGCCTTATCTCCTTACTTGGCATATTATGGTCAAATCGTTTTTTTCTTATGAACATTTAAACCAGTGGTGTCAAACATACGGCCCGCGGGCCGGAACCGGCCCCCGACGAGGTTCGATCAGGCCCACGGGATAATTTAAAAGTGAAAAAAATGCATAAAAGACACAGATTTAATATTTACATTTAGATTTTATATGCACATGTGCAGATGGTTTAAAAATTCCTTTTTTTGTAAATCTTGTTTAATCTTGAAATGCATTACGATATTTTTTCAATGACTTATTAAATTTTTGTGCTTTTGTACAATCAGTGGGATCAGTTGCAATGCATATATATGAAAAAAATGCATAAAAGACACAGATTTAATATTTACATTTAGATTTTATATGCACATGTGCAGATGGTTTAAAAATTCCTTTTTTTGTAAATCTTGTTTAATCTTGAAATGCATTACGATATTTTTTCAATGACTTATTAAATTTTTGTGCTTTTGTACAATCAGTGGGATCAGTTGCAATGCATATATATGAATGATAAAAGTAAATTGTGCATTTGTCTAAAGAAATCGAAGGTGTTTCACGACATGTTTTGTAACATTTTCCGAATGTTCTTGTGCTTCACTATACCAAAAACAAAAGAAAGACATGATATTTTGGTTATTTATAGCAGAATCTGGTATAATTTTAATGGTCCGGTCCACTTGACATCTACCAAGGCTGTACGCGGCCCAAAATGTGAAATGAGTTTGACACCAGCTATATTGTCTGTTTGCCCCTTTGAAGTTCGACTTCCATAATTACCTTCATCCACTCTCCCATGTCTTCAAATTCATCAAGGTTGAGAACAGAGTTCTTCAACCTGGCGATGGGGCCGTCTGCGTCCAGCAGGCGGCAAAGGTGGAATTTGTCGCAGTAGCCTTGATTGGCCATGCATGGCGCACCGCCCACCAGGGGCAAAGCCTTTCTCTGGAAGTGACGGACCAACACGGAGGAGGTGGTGCTAGCACATGTCTCGGGCTCACCTGCCATTGGTTTGCAGAAAATAGAATTGGACAAATGGACAGGAAAAACAGATTAGTCACCATAGTGTCTAATTTCAATACTGTTGCAATAAATCAATCTGTCCTTGGGATGTAACTTTGGAACCAACCACGTTATCCTGTTTGTTCTTCGGAGTTAGTTTAAAGGAAAACAACAAGGCCCCAAAGGTGGCTTCTATGCAAATTGACATAAGCGGACGTAACAGGAAAGTGTAGGTGTGTAAACAGATTTCTGGAGCACAAAGGTGCATTGGGCTATGAGGTTACCGGGCTGCTGGCAGCACAGGTGGCACTTCTGCTTCTTGGAATCACCCGGACAGTCACACTGCTCCAGCATGTGTTTCACACACACAGACTCGGCACAGACCTGCAGACCCCGAAAAAAAAAAAAAAAAAAACCCTCAACATTTGCAAATTAGGACCAGTGTTCATACTAATACGGGGATTGAGTACTAGTCCAAAACGGAATCTTACTTATTGAGTCATAGAAAAGCGAAACATGTCTCAATCGTGGCTGCTCAGTCCATGATGACTAAATTGACAATAATAATAAATAAAATAATAAAAAATAATACGAATGTACACTGCAAGTGTTTTTAGTCTTTGTAACTTCCTGACTTTTTTTTTGCGTTCGTCACTCCATTTGTTGCAAAGGGTGAGTGCATAATTGATTATTTTACGTGTGTGCCAACTTTCTGTTTGCATGTTCTGTTTCACATGGATCATTTTGAAAAATCTTTCCCTTAGGTGTGCTAAATTGTTTTTCTCTCTCTGCCAGCACTGATTGACCGGGGGTGGTGTCAGTCCAGAATGTCTCCTCTCACACAGAAAGCCAACCTGACTTGGCCGTAGCTGTCCTGTGACTCTGACTTGGATCATCTGTATAGAAAATGAATTTGTTTTTCGGTCTCACCCCATTCAGGCAGACACGAGTCCCTTGACTGCAGAGTGTGAGGTTTTCTTTTGGCCTCGGATCAGGGCACACAGGTGAAAGACCCGAACAAATGCTGGCCATCTGACAGTCCGTCTCTTCGTCACAGGCTTGAGCCTCTGACTTCAAACTGCACTCCTGACTGCAGCAAAGGCCCTCACTGGGACTAGAAAAGAGAGAAGGCACATGCTGGCTGCACAGATGCTACATAACAAGTATCAAATTCAAGGCCAACAGGTCAGCTCTGGTTCGCCATGTCATTTTTTTATGCCCAGTGAAAGCTTGCTACAAGTATTACAATATTTTCTTTACTTACATTCAGAACTACCTCTCCATTTGAGTTCTCACATTGCAGAGCAAGTTAGTTAAGGGACAAAAAATGTGTAACTTGCTTGCTCGCTAACTAGCTTCTGGCTAGCGACGTCAAACTTGTTGACTCATTTGAAACAGCATCATAGCAGTGTGCAATAAAGCAAGTGGAGAAAAAAGTAGCATGGTACAAAGACAAAAAAAGGGTTTTATTTAGCGACACCACAGGTGTCAAAGTCAAGGCCTGGGGGCCAGATCTGGCCGGCCACGTCATTTTATGTGGCCCGCGAAAGCAAATCAAGCATGTCAAGTTCCACGATGCTTGCTAAAGTCTGAACCAAAATTTTGAATTGTCATCTGTAATCCACAATAACAGTCATTATTCTTCACTTTTGATTTTAAAACTAGTAATTCATAAATGTGTTGTGCGCTGTGTAATATGTGGAAGTGATTAAACATTTATATGGTTTCCAAAAACTCATAATAACGGCCCTCCAAGGCAAACCGTAACTACAATGTGGCCCGCGACAAAAATGAGTTTGACACTCCTGATCTTCAAAGCTCCAACTATTACTGTACTGCATTTCTGTTGCATCCTTTGTTTTTCATCGAGAAGACGATTTTTTTGCTGATACATTTTCCTAAAAGTACAAGATATAAACTGTTGCGGTTTCATTTTAAAAGTTCCAAACTCTGTCTCATTTCACATTCTGTTTCCCGACAAATGATGACCTTAAAAGCAAGGTACATACCCAACGGTGATTTTTGGTGGACCGTTATGCCCACAGAGGTTAAACTTTAATGTGTTGTCGCAATAATAACCAGTCCCCGTGGAAAACCATAACTGCTAAGCCATGTCACAGGCTTCATTTCAGTGAAAAATGACAATAATGTTCGATATTCTTACGTACACTCCATAGTCTTATATTTGAGCGAGATACATGCCATTTTCAAGAAAAGTTTGTGTTTTGTGTTTCTGAACAATATTTGATGAAAATGAGACACATTTTTATCAAAGTTGCAAGACACAAAGCCATCATTAAGTATCGGTACTCGGTATCAGTGCATGGTATCGATGTGGCCCGTGATGAAAGTTAAGTGTGAAATCGCTGTTGTGTAAGGAGCTCTGCGGGTGTTTTACCCAAACTTTTTTGGCAGGTGAGTGTATTCAAAAATGTACCTGCATATTTTGCCAGGCTTGAGGCGACACTGCACCCCTACTCGCTCTTTAGCGCTGTAGCAGCAGAGGTCTGTGTCATTGTGTCCCACATCGCACTCCTCGCCTTCCTCCACTATCTGGTTACCGCATATGGGCTGATCACTGACTGGCCGCAGAGAGCGCACGTGTAAATACCGTGACAATCCAGAGATAATATTTATAGTGACTCACGCTTGTAAAATGTGAACACGTGCTCACCCACGAAGCAATCGTCCTTCTTGAGGCGCAGCAGCTCACTGATGTGTTTAATGCTGCAGGGGGACAGTTTGTCGTTGTTTTCACGCACATCATCTGTGGCCTGAGGAAACATCAGGTATCGGCCCTTTCCACCGGAGGAGCCCAGGTCGCCGCAATTAGTGCCTTCATCGTGCTATTACAAAAAAAAAAAAGACATACATTAAGAATAGATTTAGTTTCAATGTACAGCTCGAAATATCTAATGACATCCAATACAACAGTATTAGTGGTGCCACATAGGAAAAATGTGCACCAATTATGAACGTAAAACTTCTGCTCCACACCACAACATTAGTGCACTCTAAAATGACAAAAGCTCCAGTCCACAAACTGCCTCTCAAATTAACTTTTTAAAAAAATTCCTCGCAATTCCATCTTTCTGTGCCGGACGTGCGTGCACTCACGGCCAACAACAAGGCGCTCTAAAGTGGCCACAATAGCAGATTGTTGAGGGAAGATGCATTTTCAGGCATGAGCTAGTTAGGCATGTGCAGTTAGCTAGCTAAGCATGCCTAGCTAGCTAACTGCACATTTCAATTGCACCTCTGAGGCGACTGAAGATGCTCAAATTATTTTGTAGTTTGTCTGTGTGTGTGTGTGTGTGTGGGGGGGGCGTGATTGAGCCTCGTTTTAGTCACGTTCCTAAAATCAGGAAAACCGAAATGGTGACAAACAATTTAGCGCTACTCCTCCCCAATTGAGAATGATATGGAATTGGGAATTTCTCCATTGTGAGACAAATAAAAGGTTTTCCTATCTTAGCTTATGTTATCTTGTATCGTTCTCAGGCTTTACACACCAATTATCTTCAAACATGTATGATTTATTTCAAAACCGATCTCTGGATTCACTTTCCAAGGTCTTTAACAAAAAAAAAAAATGCTTATTGTGTTGATTGGGTGTAAAGCAGCATAAAATGCAAGGACCACTTAACATTGTTTGTATTTGGAATATTTGTAACATTAAAGTGTCAAGTATCCAGCTGTAGACATAAAAAGTAAGCAAATAAATACGTAATCGAGTGAGATCCTCCAGGAGGCCAAAACGCTGTGTCATTGACAGCTACAGAGCCGTTATCTTTGTTGTATCATGTCGCCAGTCAAGATTGCTGTCGAATGTGATGACCCTGGAGGAGCATGGGAATGTCATGTTCTCTACTGAAAGAACAGTAAGCCCCTCTTGTTTTGCTCTCGTATTTGTAAAACATCTTTAGGAAGAAATGTACTACGAACGCGATGGGTATCCTCCCCCCAAAACTTCCTGTAACAATATGTAAATTAGACCGCAAACATTTCAAAACCCAACACAACCTATAAACTGACCAATTCAATTGGAAAAAGAAACACATCTGGTACATTACAAATTAAAACTAGTCCAAGACTTTACGAATAATCGTTCACCCTAATGGCGTTGTCTTCTCTATCAGTTAGCAACATCTGGACTTCGTCATTGTTTTACATTTCAAATAATATATTTGAAGTAGGGTGTGTTCCCCCTTCTTTATCCATTGTAATCACGCTCACGGAAGAGGCCAATTAAAGACGGAAACTGTGCCATAGTTGACTTGTAACTGCACTTCCTTTGAGTTGAAAGGGGGGGTTGCTTCAGTAGGGGAATGGGCTACAAAATGGAGCGACCCTTTTAAAAAAAATATTTCTCTTCTATTGTGTACATTTGTGACCAGGAAAAATATGGGCGGTTGCGGATGGATAGTAACTTATCTTGCACGGGCAACAGTGTGCAGTAAATAAGAGAGAGAGATCAGAAGGATGGGACGTAAACAAGTTAATAGCTGTTTGGATTTCATCGCTATGACACAGTTACTTAGACATCCTCTCCGACTCCACATCCATCTGCACGGGAGTAACAATACAAGAGAGGCCAGAGATTGACGTAGTAGAACTAATCAGCTCAGGAGTAGCTCTACGAGATTCTTTTTGCTCCATGGAGTCGTGCAAAAAGGGAGGCCTGAGTGAAAAGACACATTTGGCAGAGTGAAAAAAGGCTTGTGGGTGTTTCCAGTAGAACACATAAAGGTGCATACGTGTATCCGCTGTGTGTGCGCATATAGGCTGTGTTTTGTCATGGTGATTTCCTGGTGACGGCAGCACTGAAAAGGAATTCAGTAAAGCCGGTAAACATACAGAATAGTCCAACACAAAGACACGTATGGAGAATAGTCCGCTCTTTTTGTGAGAAAGGAGGCAGGAAAGAGGGTTTCCGGCGTTTTGTTATTTCGGTGTTCGGACGAGAAAATTCTCCTGCTTGCGCAGTACCGACACACATGCTAATATTTTTTGTACACTGGGTCTAAGATTGTAAGATGTGATGAGATCTCGGAGAAAGGCGACTGACCGGAGATCCAAGACTGTGTCCGAGTTCATGAGCGAGGGTCAACTGGACGTGTCGAGGAGGCAGGAACTGTCCGTAGTTCTGAATCGTGACCAAACCTGTGTTCAGGGTGGAAGGGCGGCCATTACGAAGGGTGGTGTACTGCGAACAGATGCCGCCCCAGTTACCTGAAGACAAGAAGAGAAAAGAAGCTGAAATTTTATATGATGTGGTGATTTTTAAAAAAAAAAAAAATCGAGCTCGTTTCAAATGTGACTGATGGTGTTGAGGTCAAGGTCAGTCGATCAAGTTCTTCCACACTAAACTCACCCAAGCATGCTTTGCGCGTTGCCACAGAAAAGCCTTAAAGACATTTTTCAAACATAGCAATCTCTGATTGACTGCTTTTAGTTATTTCGTTAATATATTAATTAATACCTTGTGGAAGTACTGTATATGCTTGTTTCTCTGTAATCGCATATACAGTGGTGCCTTGAGATACAAGCGACCCAACTTATACGTTTTTTGAGACGTAGCCATTGGTGGCAGTGAACGCACCTCACTTGACAGCAAGCGGCAATTTCGCATGGTGAACACATTTTCAAAAAAGAAGCTTCATGCTGTTCATTAATTGCCACTTGCAGTTGAAATTTCCTGCCAAACTAAACATCAAACAAAGAGAAATACATGTGAATTTAAAACAACCATGTAGCCTTACTTTAAAATCTCCGAGCTTAACGTTAATGCTTAATGGTAGAAGCCATAGACGGGCTCATGAATAGCACCATTGTAATGCTTAAAAGAATGTGAATTTGAACTCAAACGGTGCAGCATCACATGTAGACAGAAAATTCAACCACACTCTCAGGCATATACTGTATTCTTCATGCCAATGGGCGAGTTGTGCACACCAGAATTATTTACATTCTGTTTAATTATGATATGACTATACTGTATGTTTTGATAAAGGACATTATTATGTCGTACCCATTTATTATAAAAGTGTTTTGAGTTAAGAGCATGGTCCACGGAACAAATTAACTGTTTTATATTACCGTATTTTTTTAAAAAAACTTTATAGGTTGAGGACAGAAACATTCATTCATTCATTCATTCATTTACCGAACCGCTTGATCCTCACTAGGGTCGCGGGGGGTGCTGGAGCCTATCCCAGCCGTCTTCGGGCAGTAGGCGGGGGACACCCTAAATTGGTTGCCAGCCAATCGCAGGGCACAAAGAGACGAACAACCATCCACGCTCACATTCACACCTAGGGACAATTTAGAGTGTTCAATCAGCCTACCATGCATGTTTTTGGAATGTGGGAGGAAACCGGAGTACCCGGAGAAAACCCACGCAGGCCCGGGGAGAACATGCAAACTCCACACAGGGAGGCTGGAGCTGGATTCGAACCCGGCACCTCTGCACTGTGAAGTCGACGTGCTAACCACTGGACTACCGGGCCGCCCTCGAGGACAGAAACAGCTATTGTCAATCCATTGAAAAAAGTGCCGTGTCGTGAGCAAAGAATAGACTGTAATGCTTTAATATTGATCAATGATAGGTGTTCACAAATTATAGATATGTTACAGTTTTTCATAAGGCTCCCTTAAGTAGCAATAGTTTGAACCAACCATGGGTGATCCTGCAACGGGGCCGTCACACTCTTCACACATCCCATTGACGAGGTTGCATAACTGACCTTGAGCTACTGGAAACACAAAGCTTTGCTTGCTCAAGTTATCAACCTAAGAGTCACACAGACAACAGTCAACATGTACGCAGTCAAAACGCCCCACCCCAGCTCTGGTTTTATGTAACGGTTCTAGAAAAAAAAGGCTGTGGTGTGTTTACCAACAGCTGGTCATCCTCACATGAATGCAATGAGGATATGCGACGTCATTGTCTTCACTGTACAGAAATTGATTGGTCAAAGGGGGCATATATGACAGAGGCGCCTCATCATGGGTGACATTATGTGACACGATGACGCCTGAAGGTTTTCCTGGAGAAAGCACGTGTCTGAAAACAATGAAACGCAGATCGGCGAAGTTATCCGGCTTCCTGGATCCGAGTGTCCCTGATTACATGACTTTCCCACCACCTTTGCAGCTGCGACAGTCGCCAATGCACCGGCATTTTCTTTTTTTTTTTTTTCCTTCCTTCCTTTTGTCATAGCATTGCTTAGTCAAATTGCCCGGATGTCATATAACACAGGTTTCAAACTCAAGGCCCGGGGGCCAGATCTGGCCCGCCACATCATCTGACGTGGCCCGCGAAAGCAGATCAAACGTCAACTTCCATGATCCTTTCTAAAATATCTACCAAAATTATAAATTCTCCTGTGTAACAAATAAGAGCGATATTCTAAGCGTTTTCTTGTTACCAAACCCTTCATGATAGCAACTTAAAAAATAGCCGAATCAACAGTTTTTCTTGACTTCTTTATCTGGTTTTAGTCATAAACGGCCCTCCTAGTGAAACGGTAACTAAAATGTGGCCCGCGGCAAAAATGAGTTTGACAGCCCTGTTATATCATGTGACCAAAAATTTTAAGCAACATTTTGGAGTGATGGACATGAAAAGAGATTTTTTTTTTTCCTGTGGGAGTTATCATCTGCATATTTGTCGCTGAAATCTGCAGTTTATAACGATCCTTTTTAATCAACTTTGACTCGACTTGCATCATAATACCGTCGACTAAGACAAGTTTTTACAGCTACTACTTGTATGATGATCCAGGAGTGGTTTGACCAGCATCCTGAAGCAAAACTTTTGACCGTGACTGTTCCTCTGTGTGACTGCAAGGTACTTTATGCTGCACATTTCACGAGCGTGGATGCTGAGCACCGCTAAAGGTCAGCTACTGCAATTGCTCCCTGGGCAACTTCTGTAACTGGACACTTCAATGTGTCCAACCTGGCCTGCCATGTGTAGTTTAGGTTAGTCACTTTATTTTTATTTTTTTTATAGTTTTTACGTAACACATTTTATGTAACCTGACCTGTGGAATCCCCGATTTTGCGGGTGTGGGGGGTGGAATGGAAGTTTGCTTGTCTGTTAAAGATATTCCCGTTTCAGAGAAATGAGAGTTCACCAGGTGTCATTGAGGACTGTGGGAACCAGCTGTGGTCATCTGGATTTCCCATCAGCGGGCGCGATTGAGATTTCGTCATTACATCTCGCATACAATAACAAAAACGACTCCGTGATTCGACCCCCCCAAGGCCATTTAAGAAACAATGAGCGCAGAGGCGCCAAAAAGGAAGCAGCCAATGATCCTTTAATTAATATAGTATGATATGCCGGGCCGCTCGAGCCCACAGTTAAAAGATAAAAGAACTAATCGGGAATTCTCATTGCACACACTGCTTTGTCTCCCCACCCCCTGTCCCCCGCGTCCGCTAAAAGACTCATTCAAGGAGCCGGGATTCCTAGAAAGAGTCCTGAAAGGCCTCTGCTGTGGATTTTGGCAGATTGAGCACAACAGGACCAGCACATTTTTCTTCCCTTCTCTTACTACTCTTGGCCACAGGAAAGGGGCTGTGAAAGGCTGCTATTCTTAACCACATGGATGAACACAACCGCAAACAAACTCCTACTCCAGATCCATTCACCTAACAGCAACAACAAAAACAAATGCACGAATGAAGGAAAACGAGCCAACTTCAGGAAATATTTTGGCGCGAATAAAATATTACTCTTCTCTTGAGGCACATAAAATGTTTTCACATTGTTTGATACAAACACCCAAACAATGGTTCAGGGGATTTTTTTTCCCCTCCAGAGTTCATTGACCTCCATATTTGAATAAGGTATTCTACAGAGGCAGGATTTATTTCTCCAATGGATTTTAATTCACTTTTTTTTTTCTTTTTGACAAGACCTTGTGATGATAAGACAGATAGTTACCAAAAAGCACACACTAGTTTCAAGGTCAAGGTTGTGCTGATTTGCCTTTTCAAGATGTTATTTGGCCTTTGGGGAGCAGACAAAAATGGAGACATTTTGAAGATGGTTTGAAAATGAAAACTACATTTTGTTGATCAAAAGGGAGGGGCACTTATTATTGTCATCGTGATGTAGATATGCTGCACAAGACAGAGTTTTGTCCCTCATACGATCTGTAACATTTAATATTTGGTAACCAAATCACAGCTCTTTGTTTATACAGTTCAGTTTTACGCCTCTGCATACAATGAAATGCTATAAAAACGTCATAAAAACTCGGTTATAAAAATAGCACATAAAGTCAAGAAATGTGTGTTTTCGGTCAATGATTTCTTGACAGTGAATCTTAAATCGTTTGGAAGGAACGTGCATTTGTGGGCCGAGCAGAAGAGTACTTCATGTGTGTCATGTCTGTCTGTTTGTTTTGTTATCAGCCGCAGCTGGAGTGAAGGGCGGTTCCCTCCAGCAGGTGCACCTGTTCCGCGTTTACCAATCAAGCCTGCCATGTATTTAAGGACTGCCAAGGTGCCAATTTTATTTTGTTTCTTTTGTGGGATTATTGACCTTGCTTGTTTTACTGCCTCAGGTGTTGTTTTTAGAACTTCTTACTTTGTAAGTATTTTTGTTATCGAGATTTTTGCTGGTTTGGTTACGCGTGTTTGGACTCTTGCTAGCTCGTTTTGTGTATTTTCGGGTTTTGCTGTTACCTTGCCTTTTCGCAAAACTTTTTTTTTTTTTTTTTTTTGCTGTTGTTATTGAGTCTTCTTTTGAGCTTGAGTTACCGGCAGCATGTGAACCTACGACAGTGCTCAGTAAGTGTCTGCCACATTTGACCAATCCAGTTAGGGCCAGTCCGGTAGGGCAAATCCAAGGAGTTGTTCCGCAAAGTAAAGTTTCATCATTGTTTGGAATACGTCCTAGTAGCATCTCCAAATTGAAGACCAAGTTTCATATCATGGAATATGCTCTGAAGTGGGCATCCCAAGAAGATCATTTCCTCACACTGTCAGCACAGAACTTTCATCTATAACCGCTTCAAACAACGGTGTATGCAGGAAAGTGGTTCAGATTGCACGATTGTCTGTGTCTTATGTGTTGTCTTGTATTATTTTGTCATTTTATGTTAGCTTTTCTTTTGATGGCGGCGCGGGCACCCTCAGCGGCTCCTCTTGTTGCATGTTGTCTTGAGAGGGAAGAAAGCACAAAGCTCCACCTCATAAAGTCCCTAGGTATGCAATTCAACAAACATACTGTATCAGCTCCATCAAACACTGGTTTCAGCTCTGTAGTCAAGTACAACTTTATTATCAAATGTGCTGTATGTTAAACATACAAGACAATAAAGTTGTACTTGACAGAAGTGTGGGTATGTGGAAAAATATTCAATTAACCAAATTGTGCTAAAGATGGTTCCGTCACTGGCAATATTCAGTTCTGCTGCTCATTCCACAAATGTGTGTTACTTAAAAACAAGGTAGCATATGATTTATTGCCAAGACAGTTGTTACAGCAAACATACTTTTTATGCAAACAAGGCAACTGCCTCTTGAGGCACCACCAAACAGTAGATCGTTGCTATCAGTTTAAGCAGAGATGGAATTTGACTGTGGTTTAGCATTTGGGCCCCAACCCTGCCATTGCCATATGAAACTCAACTAGAGGAGGAGTCTGGTGTGATTAATGGGGGTGGTGCGCATGTGTCTGCACGTGTGTTTGCGGCACACCCTTGTCACAAGGGCACAGGGGTCTCTGAGGCACACATTAGCCAACAGAAGCAATAAACGGGTGGATTTGGGTTAGAGAGATTTGGTTGTCTGAGGTCAAATTTGATGGGAAAACTCATTGACCAGTCTCGTGGTGCGGAGAAGTCACAGCAATCCCCATTGGCTACAAATTTTGTGCTCCTCACGTGAGATGGCACTATGGCGATCCCGCTGCGGAATGTAGCCTCTCGAAGACGTCTGAGGGTGGTGACAGAAGTGGTGGTGTGTTCAGGTGTCAAAGGTTCATTGGGGCCTAATCACATGTCAGAGTGGCTGTCTGCTTTCCCCCCCCCCCCGGTTTAGCCAATCAAAAGCTGAGTATGAATGACAGGCAGGAAGAGTCCTCTTATCAACACAACGCTCGGAGTTCTCAAACTTCCTGCTGCACAACAATTATGACGCACGCGAAGCCTGCAAAATATCACCCTTCATGTAAAATTTGTCTTCCATCCAATGTTTTTCTTTGAATTTGTATTTTTAGTTCCCTGCATTAAAGACACACGAAGCAATTTTAGAGTCAGCTACATGCAAAAAATAGTATGTACCTCTTTTAATTTATCGCATGGTTGGGAAAGCTTTTGTCCTCAAAGTTCACATTTGATTTTTAAAACGTGCCGAAGGACCATGCCATGAGCAGATGGGGTTAAAAAAAAATGTCCTTAACGTGTATGTAAAAAAAGGTTATTGTGTCAAACGAATAACCCATTTGGTGGTGGTTGGACAAAGAAATGCAATTTTGGTTTTTTTTTTTGTGGTGTTCTTTTGTGCTAAATGTATCACTTAGAAAGTTGCGTCAGTCCCTTTGTGACCCCAGGTGGGTTATTTGTAACCCAACTGTTTTAATAGTGTGTTAAAAATAAAAAAAGCTGAATTTAAAACAACCCAAATGAAGTCAAAGGGATGAACCCAATTTATTAATTGGGGTTATGTACTTCACCAAAGTCAAAGGAATGAATAACTCATTTGGAGTTGTTTGTCACAAACAACCCAATTATTGTTTTGGGGGTTATTCATTCATCTTTGGGTTCAGTGCATAGCCCAAAAAGTTGGGTCATTACCTTTTTGTTCCACTTTAAGTTTATAACCCAACGGTTTTTCAAGCACATGACTTTGTTACAGCTCAGTTACAGCAAAACGTGAGCACAAAGCTCCACCTCATAAAGTCCCCAGGTATGCCATCTAACAAACATACTGCATAGGCTCCATCAAACACTGGTTTCGGCTCTTTAGTCATGATCAAGGAGTCAAACGAGTCACATAGGCAATGAATCAGTGGTGCACCATGCAGAGGTTCAAACACTGATGCGGCGCGGGCAAATATTATTTCACCTTTCAAGTCAAATATCTTGGTGAGAGGGTGGACTGGACACACAAATAGTCTTCCTGTTTCGGTTTGCTGCTTTCACTTCTTCTGTAAGACGGCAATTTGAATGTGTTGATGTTGGCTGAAAACATAGATGTATCCACCCCCCCCCACCCCCCAATCTGAAATGTATGTAATAATACACCATTTTGGGATGCATCTGTGCTCGTACATGTACGGGCTTGGCAACTTCCTCTCCAAGTGATGCAAACACGAGACAATAAAAATGGGAAATAATTGTTAATGTATGCAATTAGTTGTACGATATAAAATGTCTTTTGTGAGGCCGCAAACCATCAAATGCGTTGCAACTCACCGGCCTTGCCCTCCCAGGCGAGTCCCAGCACTCCGCTGTAGTCTCGGTTGGTTAGCAGGTACGACAGGCAGAAGTTGCCCCAGTTCTTGTCTGAGTAAAGACTCAATAGCTTCTCTGGGCCAATGTAGAGAGGATTCAGAGGATCCGTTTTGTTCTCCTCTGTCATTACCTGGTCAGATACCAAATCAATATAACAATGCGTATTTATAACAATTCGTATCTGAATTAGTCATACAGCATCCATGTGAGTCAAACATGAAACCAGCGGCTTATGTTTGAACAGTTCTTTGGCTGTAGAGTGCAGTTGCTTCTTACAGTGAGGGATTTGACTTTAAAGTTGATCAGCTTGATGCCGTCAAATTCCACTTTGTCATATATGTCATTGACTGCTCTCATGTAGGAGGCAACCTGGGAACAAATCACAGAAAGATGTGAGGAAATATTAAGGTTTATAGGTCACTTTACATCGTTTAAAAGAGATTCAATAATAGAGTTCATCCATCCATCCATGTTTTGATCCGCTTATCCTCACAAGGGTTGTGGTGGGCTGGAGCCTATCCCAGTTGTCTTCGGGCGGTGTGCGGGTGACACCCCAAACCGGTTGGTTGTCAGCCAATCGCAAGGCACACAGAGACAAACAACCATCCATGCTCACATTCACACCTAGGGACAATTTGGAGTGTTCAATCAGCCCGCCATGCATGTTTTTGGAATGTGGGAGGAAACCGGAGTACCCGGAGAAAACCCACGCAGGCCCCGGGAGAACATGCAAACTCCACACAGGGAGGCCGGAGCTGCAATTGAACCCGGTACCGCTGCACTGTGAGGTCGACTCACTAGAGAATAGTTATAATTAGAAAAATACATCTTTCTTTCACAAAATCTTGATTTGAGTAGTAGTTTTCAGAACTGTTTATTAGCTTGCCCCTATGCAGCTGAATTGACTACCATGTAGAAATGAGATATATATTTTTCTTCCCGACACAAATAACCAAAACTGTTCAATAGCAATATCCTATTCAGTACAATGAAACCCTGCCACAAATCCAGAAATTCCTAAGTAACTGACATCCACCTAGAAAAGTTTATATTTGCACGTAAGTGGCGGCAAAGCATTTTTTTTTCTATTAGACGAGGTTATGGCCCAACTAAATGAAGCTCCTCCCCTCACTTAACCGTAGTTCCCCGGCACGGAGATGCACCAAATAAGAAGATAGTTTGGCCTCTTTCAAATCAAAAGGCTAGTGACCAACTTCTTGTCATTCATAATAATATTCAGGCCATAACGGGGAACTAGCACACAGCATCCTTAGGCTACGCCGCTGCGCAGTATTTTCTGCAGCGACCATACCCTTAAAGATGCATGTGAAACCCACTCACGTGTGTGAGTGTACTGTATAAACAGTGGGAGCTGAACACACACAAAAAAAAAATAAAAGTTGAACCAGCAGGGGAAACTTCCTTGACTGGAAATATTGACACCCTGGACACAGTAGATGGTGAAAGCAGGCCAGCAGTGATTGACAACAAGCGTTTGTCTATTTACAACAACAGATCGTGTTACAGGATGGCTTACAGTGTATTTTCATAGTCCACCTTGCAAGAGTCTGGCAGGAACCCAGGGACGGCTGTGTTTGATTGCTTGGTGTGGAAAGAATGCAAAGGGGGTCAGTGGAATTGATGCGAGGTCAGATAATGGGGAGAAGGATGGAACGGCAACTGAAGACCAATTTACAGGACAAATACTTGTAATTGTTAGGTTGTATGTTGTGTTTCTATTGTATTTTGGTAACTTGACTATGCATTTTGTTGTTAAAACACAGTATTAAAACACACCCCATACTGTACACTGTGCTTTTTGCATTGCCGTGTCAGCTGTGTGCAGACCGATAGTTATTTCAGTCATGCAGCAGCAACACTTTAATCATGTTGTTCTTTGTTTGCTACATAGCAAAATGAAAGATCCTGAAAATGGATTTCAGTGAAATTTGCTCAGTAGCTGCAGTGAGACTAAAGGAATAGAATAGTTTATTAAGCTTTTGATTATGATCTGCATATGGAACATTCTCGTAGCAAGGGCATAATGCAAATTATTTTATGTCAATCTGGATTCAGAATAGTTTTGTATAAATCAAAAGATGTGAACTGATTTTGATCCATGTCTTGAGTCTGAATCAGGTATGCGTATCCATATCATTTGTGCAATCCTAAATTGAACAGTTTTTGATCATTCAATGCCACACACGGATGCATACTTGGAGTAGAAGTCCAAGTGCCCACTTCACAGCAGTGATCACTGGCTCTGTTTGAGTGTGAGGGGTCTTAAATTGCCCTGGCCAATTTTACAAAATCTGCAAGTGGGGATCTTCTTGAAGTTCCTTATGAATGTAAATTTTTCGTTTCGATCTCCTGCAGGGACTCCAGCGAGGCATTTTATGCATGAAGACTGCGGCTGAATTTAACGGCATTCAAAGGCGCCGCTTCCACTGGCCAGGGGGTAAGTCGGCGGGCGGTGTTCATTCCCACAACGGCGCATCACACGTTTTTAATTGCGTGCATCTGCCAAAATAGCAAAAGAAACAAAACTCCACCCATATGAACAATTAGACTGTACTTTGCACGAGACTTAAATCTTGAATGTTGAAAAAAAAAAATTGTAAACGCACTTCAGGGGCAATTGGTGTGTAGCTTCAATATGACCCAATCACAAACTGAACGTGATCAGGCGACTCAGGGACAAAATCTGGATATTGGCCATTCTTTTAAAGTGAATGTAACACAAAACCTTTGTGGATCCAGATACACAGTCATTTGGTTTCTCTTTGGCTTAAATGTTTCGTGTAAACCCCCTTTGCTTTGCAAACATGGGCAGTCTCAACCTAGTTGTCAATTTATGGATGAATAAAGTTGGTATGCTTCAAATTAGCGCCACACTGTGACTTCACAGTCAGGACTATGGCTGCAATACAATTCAGCACTGTGAATTCAGGAGATTAGAGATTAAATCTGACTGATTCAGATTAGTGTAGTGTATCTGAAAAAAAAAATACTAAAGCCGAGTGAAGCAGTTCACTTTGCAAAGCAAGACAAAAGGTCACCTGAGCCACGACAGCCTCCACAGACTTAAACTTGTTGAAGTAGCGGTGGTCAGCGGTGAGGTGTAGCAGGCAGCTAGTTTTGGCTTCGTCCGGCGTTCTCCTTACACGGTTCGCTGCCGCCTCCTGTGGGACGCCGACAGGGTCACATAGGGAACTTGTAGTGACACGAACACAACGGGAACTCTTGGGAAAACATCTGCTCGGACCATTCAACAATGGTATGAGACTGGAAATGATCTCTACAACCGGGCATGTTGTTAAAAATGGATACGAGTAAATGTTCCGGAAACCATTGTTGAAAAGGGACACCTGGGACACACCATTAGTTGATGAACAATACGCCGGTTATCCTTTGGGAATATTAATTACTAGACCACATGGATGTCGAGTGACACAAACAATCAAAGTTCGGGCATGCCAAACCAGCTGCATTGCTCATATAGTACTCAGGTAGTCAGGACTTTCCGATGCAGAAAGATCCATTTCCCATTTTATGGTCTCACTTTCCTTTGTTGACATCACTTGTACCCTTCTGTGGTGGCATCATAAAGAAGCCAAAGGAAAGGCGGAAGTCTTCTGAAACTGTTTTGAGATGTTTTTGTTTAAATTGTGGTGTGTGTGTGAGTGTGAGTGTGTGTGTGTGTGTGTGTGTGTGTGTGTGTGTGTGTGTGTGTGTGTATGTGTGTGTGTGTGTGTGTGTGTGGTCGGGGGGTGTGGTATAAAGGTAATAGGTGAGGATTTTTTTTTTTTACCTGATAAACAGGTTTCAGGTTTTGGGCAACCGCATTTAGATGTTCTGTACCACAAAATCCAGAATCTGGTCCAGGTCCTCTAGTTGGTAAAACTACATAAACAAAAAAAAAAAAAAAACAAGCACAGGTCATTAGGATACAAACATCATTTCACTTTCACCACACTGCACAGTTCATTGTTTGCAAATCCAGCATCTACAGAGATCTTATAAACCTAAATTTCATAGACGAGCTGGCCGAGACCCCTTTCTATGCCTACCCATTGAAACGGTGCTTTGCGAATATATATTTCGGTGGAACCAAGATAAATCACTACAAGGGCACGAAGTTTTTATCCCAAGATTGTCCAAAATGTCGTTAGAATTTGAAAAAACACGGCCAGAATTGACTGAGCAAGACTGCGGTTACAGGGCACCTACTTAGCCACCCATGCCAGATGTCTTATAGTAGGAAACAACCCCCAAATAGTCTTTATATTAAAAGCTTTAGCTGCATAGTCCAGAATTTCACTGGACTATTTTAATCCATTAAAACAAATCAAACATCATCAAGCTGACGCTGTCAGACACTTTCAAAATAGTGGAGACGCGTTGGGTAATGGACCTCGCAATGGAGCTGTCTGATTTGTTTAAAAAAAAAAAAAAAAATGGAGTGATGGGCTCGATTTCACTGGCACAGATTTGAGACAGCTTTCTTCATCCACGTCTGCAATAATTCTTGCTCACATGGGAGTCATTGCATCCGTACTCATTTCCAAATCATGTTGCGCAGGCTAAGGCGATACTGAAATAGGGCCAGCAGCACTCCACAAAAGAGTGTACTAGGTTGTGCTACAACTGATGATGGCGGTGTCGGATCAGCACATCACGTACAAGCATCTGCCCACAATAACAACCAACCATCGCCTTGCAGCATTCAGTCGAGACAAATGGCCTTGAATTCCCGTCGACGCTGTTGAGTAACATGACCTCAAATCACTTTCACGTGTTGTTTGCAGTCGCACGAGAGAGGTGACGTTTTGTCAGTTAACCGGTGACCCAGAAGAACTTCAAGGCGGGTTGGGGGGGCGCACCCATGGACGAGAGAGCAACACTTGATTGGATCACACCACTCTACGAAACGACACCTCAGCCAATTGCGTTGCTGCGGTTAGTTCGACGCAGGGCAAGTGAAGGAAGGCAAATCCCAGACTGATCTGCCATACACATGTTTTCTCACTTCCAAAACGAAAGAGCTAAAAATTAAATCAAATTAAAACCACGCATACATAAACCCCGGATCCACTGTGCTTTCCAAGAATTCCACAAATGCAACATGAGAGCACAGCTGCAATAGTGTAGCTTTTGCGACATTGAAAAAAATATAATAAAATGCATAAATACACTGATAGCATTCCGATTTTTCAACACCAGCAGAGTTCAGCCATGTTTTATAGCGATAATTCTCAATTCATTGGCTCATCCAGAGTGTCTGGGCAAGAGTTACGATGAAGCAAATATCTGGAAATGATTTATGAGTGGTTGGAGCCAATAATTAACTGCTTTGGCTTTCCCAAAAGAGTGACTGAAAATGAAACTCAGCAGAAATTGAGGCCAAAGGAATCAAGCTACCCCATGACAGAAAAATGGCTACCTAGATTTTTTTTTTTTTTTTTTTTTTTTTTTAATATTGACATTAAACTCTGAGGGGATAGTTCAGCATTAATGAAGGATGAGTGTTACCCTAAGTCTTTTTGATAACAAAAATAAACATCAGGGGTTACCTAGGTTTGGTGTTTTTGAAATGAAAGTATTAGGTAACATGACAGTCATGTCACATGTTAAAGAAAGAATAGAAAAATGAAGAAAAAAAATGTGTATTAATGGTTCTTAGAGTGCAGTATGAATACCACCATTGGTATACAGGCTTCTTCTAGTGGACGCAAGAGAACCACCAAATTTAATTTTGCCGGATCATCTGTGCAAAAAAATTACAGTGGCTTACTACTTTTAAAAAAATTCTGTACAGTACATTTGTTTAAGTTCTGTGTTATTGTATGTACAATACATTTGCAATTCATGTTTTAGAATGACATCCACTGAAAAAAGTTTTTGTTGAATTTTATTTCATCAAGTGGTTGCACGAAACAAAATCATGTGGATCCAGATAAATTTTTTTCATGATACTAGACATTTATTTAAAACAAAACAAAAAAATTAAATAGCTTCTACATCTACTACTCCGGATCCATATTATTTTATTTTGTGCAGTCACTTGAAAAAATAAAATCGAGTAAATTCAACACACCATTTTTTGTGTGTGTGTGTGTGTGTGTGTGTGTGTGTGTGTGTGTGTGTGTGTGTGTGTGTGT